ATCTCCTCTCTCCTCTCGTTCTCTCTCTCTCTCTCTCTCTCTCTTATCAGCTCCCTATCGCGCGACAACTTCCCCAGTTTTTTGCAGCCGCCATATTTTTACCCCCCCCCTTCTCAGCCGCAATCCGCCGCACCTATTGCCTGAAAAAGTCAAAAACCAACCACCGGTTTTTACTTAAAATTCCGACACTCGTTCCGGCAATTCTGGACACTAATTTCTTCGATCTAGGGATGCTTTTTTTTTCATTCTTTTCAATGTGTTCTAGCTGATGAGTGGGTTGATTAGGATCAATTTCTGCATTTTGGAACTCAAATTATTCGCTTAAAGTTTGGGCCGTTTTTCACTCGTGGTGTTCTGGCAAGTATGGTCATAACAAAAATTGCTCTCTTATTCTCCTGATAATGTAAGTATGTTCTTGACCGATGGTTTGAGATTTCCAGTCACTGAAATTCTCTAGACACCCACGCTTGCCCGATGCGTCGACACTTTTTGGGTGACCCATTTGGTCCTAAAATGATCCTCATTCGTCGTCCTGAGCCGACATATAACTCGATTTGATTTGGTTATTGTTTTTGAGATGATCTTCAATCGGTTACTCATATAGCGTGTTCCATGTTCAATTATGTTCGGACCATTGGATCGGCCTCCATTTTCCATATAGTTTTTTAGGCACTCTAGGATTGTGATAATTCGCGGATCGGAATTTGAGCCCCGATGCTTCGGTTACAAGAATTCATAGATTAGTAAATAGTAACCGTCCGTCAGTGTGACGCGAGCGATCCAACTGTTCTATTCCGACCAAACTTGCAGGACAGATTATGTTAAAAACGCCCTATTGAACTCAAGGACCTTTTCAGATCAGAAATTGGAGGTCATGGGCCCCCTGGCCCGGTTTGATGCCAGTTTACCCCTCGTTGACCGTGGCGCTTTTGAGATAGTTTCACTCCTCGAGGATCTTAGAAACCGCATGAGTACACAGTCTTGATTGTTTATTGATTATGTTGATTGTTGTGGATTACGAGATTGTTATGAGTAGCGTAATCTTATGGAATTCTTAGATATTAATTTTGAAATTGAAGTTATGGAATACTTAAGCAGGGATACTTTGATCGATGGGTTGTGTTAGTCTTGTGGTCTCGGCTATGATTATTTAATAAATGAGTGGAGTTGTGTTTTAAACTGTACTTCGTCTTCTAATACTAATATGAATTTCTGTGCATAAATGATTTGATGAAAATTTATATTATATTTAATATGGTTAATGAGGATATAAGGGATCTTAAGGTTATTTATTAGTTATCATTATTTATTATGTAGTATATTATTAAGTATATGGATTGGATGAATCGAGTTATTTACCGAAAGTCTATTATTTAATTGTGATTAGGTTTATTTATGGAATTAAGTGTAAACTAGTTTTCTTGCTATTTGAATTGTTTTTAGTTTTTGGAATATATGCTGAGAAGTTTAGTTTCATCATGACTAATATTGCAATACATGCTTATTGTTGGCTCTCTTGCTTATTAATTATTATGTTTATTTTAACTCCAAGTGATGTATTAATATTCCACTGTAATAGTTTATGATTTCATATTAATTTTGAAGCAATAAAAATCGCTTTTGAGGAATGAGATTGTTTGGAGTCTATATTTTGCACATTTGAGTTCAAATTTTCTCTAACACTAATTTCAGCCAAAAAAGACCGCCTAATTATATTTGGTAATGTAAGGTGCACGATAGAGATGCCATGGGTTGAGGAGGTCATTTCGTTTTATTTTATTTTTCTGATATTTTCACCTTTTTTTTTTCTCTGGTCCATTTTGATAGATGTCCACACATGTACGACAACTAAACTCATATCAGCTTTAGGCTTCGTTAATGCTTCTCTTTTTGCTTGCCTAAATACACAACACTTAATTTATGACAACTTGAAGAGTTTATGATACTACTTGGTTTATCGATTTGTGGTAGTAAAGTATATAGGTATTATCGGTGTTTCGAGAACTTTTCCTATTGCCAGAAATTTTTCTCAATGAAGGATACTTGAGGCCAGACGAGAAAGCTAATTTTCTAGTCGGTTTTGTATTGCTATTGGGGTAAAAGTCCCACCTGAATCACACAATAAAAATGCTTATAATGCCTGAAGTAATAATTTGTTATCATTTTCGTATCCGTGGGTCTGTAATCAGGGCATTAAAGGATGTTTGTTGAACAAGCCTGTCAGATTAGGGTGGTAGCGCTTGGACCCTTCACTACGGGTGAAGTCTGCCACCAAATACGCCTTCTACCCTTGGTAAGTATGGCACCCCAACCGAAACGGGTGGGGTAGAAACGCAAAAACTGACTCTATGAAATTGGAATTGGGGATTTGTTGGTACCAGGACCAACAAAAAGAAAAAAAAAAAAGAAGAAGAACACACCTGTACCTCACCCAACACATCAAGGCCATTACACACACCTTCAGTGTGCTGCCTGCCTTTGCTTCTCCATCACACATCCACATTCTCTTTCCTCCTCTCCCCCACAACTTCCAACAACTATAGTATATCTATTTATTTCTTTCCTTTGTTGCAACTTATTATAAATCAACAAATTGGTTCATTTCTAATTTATTTATTATCATTATTGGATGAATTATTCCTATGATGATCAAGGGCTGCGGAGAGGATTTAGATGTCTTGCAATTGAAGTCACAAAGACAGCAACAGATTTCTTTTCTTCAAGACAGGGTATTGACCCATTGTTTCCACATCGACCATTGAAGGAGAGAGACTGGATCTGGGTCAAGACTTGTTTGTATGTTATCCATAGAATGATTTTAGCAAAATCATTGGTGACTCGTCTACAACATGAAGTGCTTTTTGCGCATAAGTTCTTTAGATATTTTATAGTGTTGCTACCTAAGACGATTCGCAGGGTGATGCACTATCACGTCGAAGAAATTTTAGAATCCCGTGTAAAAACACTCAATCTGCTTAGTAATACTTACTACGTTGTTATCATCATACATCTTTATAAGAGATGTTTTGTTTTTCCTCCTTGTTTAAAAAATCTGAATTTCTCTGTTTTGAATGTTATTTATTTTTATTTGCTTTATTGGCGTGGGGACGACGTTTTATGTGGTACATAAAATTCCGTATATATGCTTATATTCCGGACCAAAATGAGGGATTTGAGAATAAGTACCTCTTCATTATCGGGGGACGGCTAAACTAACCCTGAATAGATTTTGAAGAATAACTATTTTGTTTTGGAATACAACAGTTCGTCGGGGGGGGGAATGAAGGGGTAGTTAAAGAGGAAATAGTGCTGAAATTATTACAGCTCTTCCAGTCCCAACACCACAAACTCCTGAGCTTAAACTCTCTCCTCATTAATTGTTCACATGCGTTTCTTTGGAAAGCAACTTCTTTGTGCTCCCGTTTTAAGTTCGCTAACTAACTCCCCCGACACAAACAAACCGAGATAATGGAATTTTGAAACATAAGGATTGCAATTCATCGACTAATAATTATATAACAATTATGATTAATAAGCAACTGGTAATAAAGAAACACTTCCATTTCATTGAGAATTTTCTAGTGTGGATTATGAAATCACTATTTGGTGTGCCATATAATGATGATCGAAAGTCCCACTGGAAAAGACTCAATCTCAAATGCTTATAAAGGGTTACATAACTTGATATTGCCGAGGTCCTACTAGCTTGGTTTTGTACTAAGCTGGGCATTAACGTGATGTTGTTTGAGCAACCCTTAATATGAGATATGGTCTTGACTTTCACCGTGTGTGAAGTCGCATTAACACACACCCTTATAGGTCCCCCACCTTTAGTTGCAAAAGCAAAAAATGGATATATTGGGGTTTTTTGTTCCATACCTAGACCCCACAGATCAGAGCCACTATACCTTAGTGTGTTGCCTGGCTTGCACTCTCATCACACAATCACTTTTTGTCTCTTCCTTTCACATCGAAAAAACCAATTTCATAATTTAGTTTATCCTATTTGAGTTTTTCATTATTATATATAAAAACAAAAAATAAATATATTATTTTTATTTATTTATTTTTAAAAAAAAAAAAAAAATAAAAAAAAAAAAAAAAAAAGTTGGGTCATTTCCTCCTTGTGTTTTGTATATGTTTCTTAATGCGGTCAATTCTGTTAAATCTTTCTTTTTTATAAAATTTCAAATTCAACCTAAAAATATTTGTTTTTTTTTTTTTATAAAAAATTCAACCTCCAGTTCCCGCTGGAGACCTCAACCACATAGATGGGAGTTGCATTCAGAAAGTGTAAAAAAAAATAAAAAGTTTTGTTAGATTTTGTAAATATTAATTAATTAATAAATAAATTTTTTTATTATTTAGTCACAGGCCAAAATATGGGTGAGTCACATGGTAACATCACATTTAACGAAAAACATAATGGGTGAGACTAACGAATGTATTAAAGTGATACGAAAATAAACTTTATGCATAGACCTCACTACTCAAACAAAACAAAATATCGCAGGTTGAATTTGTACTATTGAATTTCATACGGTAGCAGAACGAAAATTCCTAACAGCAGACCTCCCACAAAAAAAACACCCGTACACTCCCTTTTCGTAATTTAATCGCTGCTGCTTTCTTTCTTCTTCGCCACACCGACTTACAACGCCAGAGAGAGAGAGTGTGGTGTGGTGTGTGTGTTTTGGAGAGATGGGGCTTGAAATTGTGGAACCAAACGCGTGCATTAGAGGTTGCTGCAGCAGCAATTCCATTCCTCTCCATCTTCCACCTTCCTCTTACACTCTCCTCAAACCAATTGCCCGGGGTAACTCACACTCCTTTTCCTCTTTCCAGTCCAGGCTCTAGCTAAGGCTCTGTTTGGCTAATGCCTAATGCCTATCGCCACTTGCCCTTTTATTTTGGAGATTTCTAATTAATTGATTAATTGGTTATTTTCCGGGTATGCTTTTTGGTGCTGATTGTGTGTGTAGGGGCTGAGAGTGTTGTATATGAAGCAATTTTGGGATGGAAAGAAAGTTGCTGTGAAGAAACCCATCTTGTCTACTTCTGAGGATCTTGATAAGTTCCACAAGGAGTTGCAATTGCTATGGTATGTTTATGGTTCATGTATAATTCACATTACATGTTTCAATGCTGTGAGGATATAGTTCTGTATATGTATGTATATGCATATGAATCTATTTATGTGTATGATTCGAGTATATATAAACATTGAAGTAAGCTTGATCATCCGGGAATAGCAAAACTGGTTGCCGCACATGCAAAGCCACCCAATTACATGTATTTCTTCGAATTCTTTGAGCCTCCGAACTTATCTGAGAAATTACACATGGAAGAATGGAGTCCGAATATCAATCAGGGTGCTTGCGGTTGCTGTCCAATTAGGTATGACTTAGTTGCTTCTGTGTTTTTCTCTGAGTGTTTTTATGAGTTCAGATCATCTTAGTATTTAGCCCTACCATTAACAGAGGAAATGTGTGAACTAATTTTGTAGGAAGGGCAAGTTATAATTGTGATTTTGATTTTATGATTTAATGGGCTCTGTCATTTTACACTCTTTATTGAACCACCTGGGTATCAAGTATCACAATAAATACACACACACACACACACACATACAGATTTATACATATAAACATACACACACGTGCATATGTTAAGCCTCCAAGAGGTCTATGGTTTCTAGCCTCACAACAAAGGGTGTCTTTCAATATTTCTTAAAATAACTCTGGGTGTGCATGCATGTGTATGTGTGTGTCTGCAGGGGTTGAGCTAGGATTTTTAGTTTTTGGGGCCATAGAAATTAAGAATGGGGGATAACCGCAAGATGGTCTATAGGATAAATTGATGATGGTTCAGCAAGACGTTGTACTGTAACATCATGTTGATGAGTTTGCTATTACAGCTTATTGCCGGAAACAGGCATTTTATTTTTACTACTATTTTCATTTCGAGGTTTCCAAAATTATTTAGTTGCATGATTTTACATTGTTTTCCTTTTCCAGCAAAGGCTTTGCAATATCTGCATCACCTCGGGATTGTACATAGGGATGTGAAACCGGCAAATATTCTTGTAAATGCCTTCCTTTATCTTATTCTGTAGCAAACAGAAATCCTCTTTTGACCAGTTTTGGACGAATTTAACTAATATCATACCCTTACGATGCAGCTGGACAAAGATCTTTATCCACACTTAGCAGACTTTGGTTTGGCTGAGTACAAGAAAGATCTTAAAGGAGTTTCTATTGGGAATTGGAGGTCATCTGGAAAACCTACTGGTGGTTTCCACAAAAAAAACATGGTTGGCACTCTCATTTACATGGCACCTGAAATACTAAAGAAGGAAATACATACAGAAAAATCAGATGTCTACAGCTTTGGTATATCAATTAAGTAAGGATTTAAGATTTGATTATGCTAAAAACTAGCAAATTTTATTCTACTAGATCTATGCCTACAAGACAAATGTAACTGAAGTTGTGTTCTTTCAAGTGACGCTATTTGCTGTTTGTTATAGATTTTTGAATTGAGCCTTAGAACCTTTAAGACCTTTCAGGGAACCTAAATATTTTTAATGGACAAAGTTTCTATATGGTATTTGTACCTAACCTTAGCACCTTTAACTTGTGGGGAGATGCTAATCAGACTTTTGACGTTGCTGATAAAGTATGTTGATGCTAAAGATTGGATCAACATCGAAATAAGAAAAATAAGATCATGCAATCCTAGAACCAGGGTAGCTGTGGTATTAATTATTTTAAATCACTTTCAATACTATCCCAATTAAACCCAAGTCACTCTCTTACTGTGAATAAAATGAGTATAATTGAGACATCTCAATAGAGGTAAAATTGATATCATAATGTTGAATGGTCTTTGCTAGATTTTCTTCTTGAGGTGAAGAGCTGTCTATATATTGGAGAGGGAGAGTCCTTTTTGCAGAAGTAGGATTCCTTCAGAGAGTAATTTGGGGATGAATTTCTGTCTTTTTTTGTCCATATTGGAGGGATTTACACTTCCTCACAAATTGGTGCAAAGATATCTTTATTTCCAACTTGTTCAGTGTAGAATAGAAAAACATTATTAGACACTGCCTTAGTTAAGATATCTGTTAGACTATGAGTTGATCTTCGGTTTTCATGAATGAGTGCAAATAATCTCTTATGTCAATTTTTCCTTTATAAAGTATCTCCACCTCAACATGCTTAGTATTTTCATTTTTAACCAGATTGTGTTCAATGTTAATCTGTTGTCGCAGAAGAGTTTCATTGGTTTCTCAAGAAAGATTCGCTCATCAAGCCCCTCTGCTGTCACAGATTCTTGAGCTATGGCTCTAAATTCTGTCTCTGCACTGACCAATTCTTGCTAAGCTATGTAACCATATTTCCTCCTACGAAATTACAATTTCCAGAACTCGACCTTTTGTCTATAATAGAACCTGTTTGCGTGTGTATCTCGTTCAACATCTAGGTGCCAATAGTTGGTAGAAAGTAATAACCATTTACCTGAGCATACTTAGGATCCGATATACAACTCCACCTATGAGTCTCACTAGGTGCATGCATGTCTGGACGTGTGCGAAAAAAATACATAGACTTCGTTTGAATAATTATGGTAAATATATATAAATTCACAGTCAAGGATCATTCTTGCAAGATACTATAATATAGTACTGCAAAATTAGAATTATAGATGTAGTTGAATCATAGTGAATAGTAACATTGTGATAAATGCTATTTATACTGGTAATTCATTATTGATGCTACTGTTGTATAGAAAAATATGCAGTTTACAGTTTTTGTGCTCTTTTTCCCATGAATTTGTGATTTGACGATGATCCTCTTGCAGTGAGCTTCTTACTGGTGTTGTTCCATATACTGATCTTCGTGCGGAAGCCCAGGTTAGCCTTTCTCAATTGTATTTGGCTTACTTGTGTTATGATTTACGATGCTGATATATTGTTTGATTGATGTGTCATATGATTCTTGTTGCTAATACACATGTTTGCATTTTTACGTATAAAAGAGGGAATTGTATTGAAAATTCCGGTTTATTTTTTGGCTTTCAGTATGGTTAATGCAGAAATAATAATATTGTAGAAATCAATATTGGTTAGAAATAGCTTTCATCCAGATTCAGAAAGGTTAAAATATTTTTCTTGTCGACGAGGCACCGCAAGGCGCATTATATGTTCCAGTTGCAAATGTGGCCACATTATTCGTGGATGAAAAGTTTCAATCTAGAATTTAGTAGAATTTAAAGGAATTTGGTGGAGGTAGAAACTCTAGGTGTATTGAGTTAAGATTTTTACAAACGACATTTGAGCATAATAACTGTTAATGATTTGTACTAGTATTTGGAATTTAAGTTACTGGATAGTTGAAATTCCATTTAATCATAGTGAGAAGCATTTAAGGACTTCTATTTTCTATTATTTTATTAATGAACTAGTTCAAGGATCGGATACTGAAAACATGCAGTACTTCTGTAGAAAAAAATGTTAATAACAGACCTATGTCTAATTAGCTATTTAGTTATTTAAATACCTTTAAGCCATTTGGTCCTGGTGCCTTTATGTTCTATATATTGACTTCAACACGGAAGAGTATTGCTAACTGCCCAACAATCCATTACTGTGCCTGAAAATTTCTTCCTATCCATTGGTCAAGCCTTTGCTTCTATCCTATGACATATTTTTGTTTGACAGTCGTCCTTTATATTTAGTAAAATTCCTTATCATCTATCGATGGATTCATGTATATGTTCTGACAATACTATTTTCTTGGGTTTCAGAGTGGCATCTTTTGATGGAATTGTGTTTGTTATACAACATAAATTTTGAAGCTTAATATGAATAGGTCTTTTATTTTATGGATTTGACTCTTCAAATTTATCACTGTTTAAGATCATGGTAGCTGACTGATGCGTAATATTTGTGTTGCTGGCAGGCACACACTGTACTGGAGATGAACTACACTGAGCAGCAACTAACAGCAGCTGTGGTGTCTGATGGATTGCGACCTGTTCTTGCTGGTCCTGAATCTGGTGCACCATCTACTTTGTTGTCACTGATAGAGAGGTGTTGGGATGCAAATTCTCAAAACAGACCTTCTTTTGATGACATAGTTGCAGAACTTGGTACAATTTTGGAACAGGGAGAAAATATGAAAGAATCAGATATTTTCTTTCCCAAATCTTCTAATTCTCTTGGTGATCAGCCGGTTTATGTTGCTAGCAGCCTTCAAGCTTACCAAGAGGGTATTAACTGGTTTTCTCAGGGAGAAAATTTCATCACAAGAGCTTGTCTACCTAAACCTGGTACAGCAATCTGGCTTGCATCAAATGATCCCTTGGCATATAATCCAATACTTTCTTGGGGATCCTTTGCTACATGTGGGAGACGGGAGACCATGGAGGACACTCATTTCCTTTTGCCCCAAATGTTTCATCAAGGGGACATACATGCTTTTGGTATCTTTGATGGTCATAGAGGTGATTTTCGGTGATATATCTAATTCTAATTGTGTATTTAGGATTTTTACTGGTGTCACGGTTGATTCAGTCCTACTAATTCTTAACGCATCCAAATTCCAATGTTATGCTACAAGGATTTACCAAATGCAGGTGCAGCAGCTGCCGAATTTTCAGCTCGAGCGTTTCCAGGATTCTTGCAAGCTTTAAGTTCAACTAGCAGGTTTCTTCCGTTTCCATTTCGTTTTCAACATTATGCATATATGTGTGTGTGCGTGTGTGTGTGTGTTATTTGACCATAATTGATTGTATCCTTTGATGCAGTCCAAGTGGTGCATTATTTGAAGCATTCATTAAGACAGATATTGCGTTTAGAGCTGAGCTGGATTTTTCTCGTAAATCCAAGAGAGTTATCCAGAAGGACTGGCATCCCGGTTGCACTGCAGCAGCTGCTCTTATTGTTGGAAACAAGCTTTTTGTGGCTAATGCTGGTGATTGCAGGACCATATTGTGTCGGGCTGGCCATCCCTTTGTTCTAAGCAAGGTGACCGGAACTTCTTACATTCCTGTTTGGTTGTTCTGGTTTAGTACAAGGTGTTATTTTTCTCAGTATAATGGATGAAATATTAGGATCATGTTGCAAGCTGTCTTGAGGAGAGGGAGCGGGTTATTAGTGCTGGGGAACAAGTTAGATGGCAAGTAGATAATTGGCGGGTGGGTCTTGCTGCTCTTCAGGTTTGTCTCTTTAGATATCATGATAGGTTTGTAATGTTGTCTTCCAAAAATGTTTTCTTTTTGTTTGCTGATTTAATGGACTGTATGCTGCAATTTACTTGAGCAGGTTAGTATTATTTTCCAAATGGAAGGCTCGCACACAAACCTTTTTTCTGAGTTAATTGGTAGAACTTTTAGAATCAGTTCAGAAAAAAATAGACAATTCATAAAATCTGGCTGAGAGGAAAAGCAAATATAATCATCTTCCATTGTAATGTCAAAGTAAAGGCACATATGTGCCACTTAGATAGAGCTCATATATTATTTTATACATGAACAGCTACCAAAGAGAAATTAATCAGTTCTGTACAATCCTAATTTGGAAATAATTGCAACTTTGTTGAGACTTGTACAGTTTTGCGACGCAACTTGTTGTCATGTTGGTTTTGCACATGAACCTATTTTTCGAGTTAATTGGTAAAACTTTTATAATGAGTTATAAAAAATTAGACAATTCATAAAATCTGGCTGAGAGGAAAAGCAAAAATAATCATCTTCCATTGTAATGTCGAAGTAAGATTTTCTTTGAAGGCACATATGTGCCACTTAGATAGACCTTGTAAATTGTTATTCATACATAAACAGCTACCAAAGAAATTAATCCGTTCTGCACAATTCTAATTTTGAAATAAAATAATTGCAACTTTGTTGAGACTTGTACAGTTTTGCAATACAACTTGTTATCATGTTGGTTTTTCTTCTAAGAAAATGGAAAATAAAATTTGAAACCAACGTTTTAGGTTGATCTTCTATGACAGAGGAGTTCTTGCTGACTTTTACAAAAGAAAGTTCACTTTTCAGAAGAGGAAAGGTTTTGTAGCAGAGTTAATAAAAAATTAGACTGACAGGTCTTCTATGTTTATGAAAAATCGTTCATTGAACTCCGATTTATAATTTGGTGTGAGATTATGAATGATTTGTTTCTACAAATATATGTGCTAAACTGCTAGCTTTTTTGACCAATGATGTAAGTTGCCTACAACATGGGGTCCGTTGACTATTGATGTGGGTTTTATAAGAATATAAAAGTAATGCTTGATATGAGTTTTCTTGATCTTGAGCTGTTTGACGACACTGACATCTCTTTTTTACATGACGATTTGTATAAGGGTAGATCTTTAGGTTGGTTGTGCCAGTACTGTTAATTCTGCTGCTATTTAGGAAGATGGCTTCTTATAAGTTTTAATCAGCCCACATTTATGGGTTTTCCTTTTTGAAGGAACTTGTGAATAAAATTCTGGTGTACTGCATCAAATCAGCTTTTTTTTCCCTCCTCTCTTGGAAAGATATGCTTCAGAAACTTATGACCTGTATTACGTGTAAATTTTTGGCCTAACAGTAACATGTATTTGGATTATTCCCTTTGCCACCTGAAGAAGCAATCATGGCAGTGAACGGGTGATACCTTACTAAAATGCTGTATATGTGCATGTTTTACATTATTTCTTTCAACAGGTCACTCGTTCCATAGGGGATGATGATCTAAAGCCTGCTGTAACTGCAGAACCTGAGATAACTGAAACTATTCTTTCGGCAGAGGATGAGTATTTGGTAAGAAATAAGATTTTGATAAATAGATATTAAGTTTGATGACAGATATATGAATTGATTTTTTAAAACTAATGGTTAGGTTTTGGAAAGAATATAACATGAATGAGGAAAGAACCTCTTCTGAGTATGCTTCTTGCATGTAGAGCTTCAAGTATATTTTACTTTGTGATCAACATTTGAAGCTTTCTTTCTCTATGATTTAATTATAGGCATACATGCTTCTTGAATATTCCCCTCTACAATTATCACTGTAATCATCTTTCATCCTGTTTACTGCTCAGACACCACAAAATATTGCACGTCTTCCTGTCCAGTTATCTATAATTCTATGTTTGTCATAAGGGCTTTTCTGGCATCTTGTCAGTGATAATCATTTTTTCACCTTAAATACAGGGTAAGAATAAGACTGTTCATTTATAAGTTTATGTGTGATACCATGATGGAATCTTGGAGGCCATACACATGTAAGCAGTTGTCCATAGATTACTATATTGCTAATATTGACTGGGAAGTTCTATGTCATAAACTTAGCATCTTCTGATAGTGCTGGTCTTCAATGTTGCTGGATGCTGTTTAAAAAATCTCAGAGCTCTGTTACGAGTCAAAATGTTCCATGAAGTTAAAAATACTGGAAAATTATTTATTTGTATATTATTTATTTTTGACAATGACATTTCATGCTGGCAGGCAACATAACCCACATTGAGTTTTCTGTCTAAAAACAAATAATCTGGTTGCTTAAGATATTCAATCTAAATTACAATTACTGTTTTTTGTTATTCTTACTTTTTTGAGAAAAAAACATTTTTGTTTGTCAGGTATGGCAAGTGATGGATTGTGGGATGTTGTGAGCAATGCAGAGGTTGTAAGCATAATCAAGGACACTGTGAAAGAGCCTGGAATGTGCTCCAAGAGATTGGCGACAGAAGCAGCAGAGCGTGGCAGCAAAGACAACATCACAGTCATTGTTGTCTTCCTTCGTCCCGTCTCCACAGCTGAGAGAATTTACTAGGTTGGTTGATAGTTTCCTGCTTCTGAATGCGAATAGTCGGGTTAAACAATCAAATGTCGGAAGATATGATGAACCTGGATAATAAAAATTGTAGTTGTACGATACTGATAATGTATGTGAAATTTGCATCCAAATTAGTGAATGCTTCTTGCATGTAATAGTTTCATAACATTGATTTATACCATGTATTTATTTTCGCCATTCAGACATTCTGAATGCAGTCCTTCTCCTTTTGCCTGTGGGGCTGAAAAGAATTAAGTGAGGGGAAGTCTGGAAACCATTGTAGATGATATTACTAGAGTAGAAATAGAGTCCAGTTAAGGAATAAGTTGTTGAATATCATTTCAATGTTAAATATGTTGAACTGCAATTTGGAATGAAATCTAACAAATGTGGAAAAAATTTCCTCATCAATTGGTGGACAGCCAACGGAGGAAGAGCGATAGTGAACGGTAGGAGGAGGTATAGAAACGATAATTTAATTACAGTTGGTGAGTGGCAGTTAAGCTATCGCTGTATTTGCTTGATTATGTTTATGGAAATATGATTATCTCATCTTTGTTTTGGGCTTCCATTGGCAGTTGCCTTTGTTTTGGTGTTCCATTGTTTTGTTTCGGTTGAATGTAAGTTGTGAGTTATCTAAACAAGAAGTTGGATGCAAGAAAACAGCTTAAAATGAAAGCTCATCACCCCACCTTGTTCATGTTATACCTAAAAAGCAATGTCTGATAAAAAATCGGAAAATTAAACAATGTCTACTCAAATATTCAACAAAAAGAGAAATTGGAAAAGAGAATATTAAAAAATAGAAAATATTAAAATAAAGAAAATAATAGAAAATATAATATTTTTGGTTGGATAACGTTTAAAATGAAAACTGGTTATTGTATATTTTGGTTTGGATAATTTAAATGAGAAGATTGTTGTTGATCTAATTTTTTTTTTTTTTTTTAAAGAAAAAAAAGTGGAAGGTTGATACATAATTTACATTTTCAAAAATGGCTAGTACACCATTTTTGTTTGCAAGTCCCATTTTCATTGAGATGAAAACTGGTTTTTTTTATAATCATTTTATTTTTAAAAAAAATATTTTGGGTGTGTTGGTGAGATAAAAAAACCATAAGAATTCATCCTTGCGGAAGAAGAAATGATGTATGAACCCTAATCGTGTATGACAAAAAGAAAACAATCACAGTAGTTCTTGAGTTATTCAGTTTGATTTTGCTAAACCTACGGAACCACGAGACCAAACCTTATCATTTTGACAGACTCAAAGAAATCAAAACCAATTTGAGAAAACTCATAAATATCATGTACCTAAATGAGCAGCAGGGTAGCTTCTTAAAATTCCCAGATAAAGAGTTTACAGATTCCGAAGCGTTAAAAACCATGAAAGAACAACTTGAACCAGAAAAAAAACCAAAACAAAACTGTTACCTCAGAATGAAAACCCCAGAGTTTCAAGATTCATAGAAACCAATAGCAACATCAAATTGAGAATCATGCAATAAGAAACACTCAGTATTGTTGTGCATATTTACCTTAGCTATGCTTCTTGTCGCGGGAAGTTGAAATGAAGTTGAAATTCACCGAAAGTAACTTAACTCGAAATTCGGTGCAACCCCTTCTCCTAACTTTGATCTCAAAGAAAAAAGAAAGTGTTGCAATGAACATCGACTTATGTTACTAGGGTGAGAAGTCTCGAATGTAACTGCTCCAACGATTGTTTTCTTTCTATTTTTGTGAAAAGGTTTGAAGGTTCTGTCTAGTTATATAGACTTGGGAAACCGACTTAAGCACAACTTAAGTTGGACTTCTTTGCTTCCTAGCTTTTAGGCCCAAAAAATAATTTCTAATATTCAAACTAAAAAATTTATTTATTTATTGAAAAAAAAAAAAAAAAAAAAAAAAAAAAAAAAAAAAAAAAAATATATTTATTATTTAATTAAAAATTAAAAAAGAAAACATAGATGCGAAGTAATGATTTTGATTTTGTTGAATCCGGTGATGATATACATACCATATCCTACCTGTTTGGTTTGATAACTTTTATAATGAAAACTGGTTTTCTTTTTCTTTTTTGGTTGGATAATTTCCATCATAATCCATTTTATATAATTTAGATATATCCATGCATGTTTGGTTTGACAACTTTTAAAATGAAAACTGGGTTTTATATTTTGGGTGTAATTTGGTGAGATCAGTATGAAGTCGTTTTTTTTAGGGTTATTTACTCAAATGGTAATTTTTTGAGTTATTAAATTTGAACTCTAATCTTGTATGGCAAGAAGAAACAATCACACTGGTCCTTGAATTATTCAATTTGATTTTGCTAAAGCTATAGAACCACATGACCAAACTTAATCATTTTGAGTTATTAATCACACTGGTCCTTGTTCTGATTGTAATGCCTCCATAGTTGAGTTCCATCATTATGAAGTCTCGGACATGGACATGGATTTCTAAGAAAGAAAAAGAAAAATGAAAATCCCATCTTGTATATGGCAAAAAGAAAACAATCACAATAGTCCTTGAGTTATTCACAATCAGAAAAAATCAACTCTACATAGGCGGGAAGGGGATTAACATTCTGTAGTTAAACTTTCTTTGCTTGCTGCTATATATCTGCAGGTACTAACAATACACAAATGAACATGACTAATAAAGATGGCTAAAGGAATGAATGTGGTCTAACATGGCTAAAAGTTTCTCTACTGTACAACCAGAGGGAACAAATATTTGAACAGAAGTTTTCTTCAATCTCCATCATGGCCTCCGGTCGGATTCTGTCAGGTAAGAACTAGCTAGCTAGCTAGAGTGCATTCTAATCGGACCTGACCTTGAGATCCAGTGAGGGGATTAAGGTTAGACATCTTCATCATTGCCCGGGCAAAGTCCATCCGGAAGGTTGATCCATCATCTGAAGCATAAGCTCTCACCAATCTGGCTGTCCTCTCATTAGCCATCAATTGCTGATCAGCAAAGAGAAGTCCTCTGCCTCTCAACAAGCTCTGGTAGTAATGAGTGTCAAAGCCTGCCCCAGACGATACAGATGATGACAGTTGCTGAAAGTATGGCATCCCCCTCCGCGCAGGCTTCTCACTCATGCCCCTTGATGCCATTGGGGATGATGCCATGGTTGCTGCCATGGGGCCTGCCGTGGGGAATGCCATGGGAGACGCCATGGTAGCTGCCATGGGTGATCCTTGGCTACTCTTCTCGTTACCATTGTCTTCACAGAAAACTCTCATCTCATTGAGGAAACTAGGAGAAACAGTTGGGTCTGGTTTCCCTGTCCCCTTGAAGTTGTGAAGGCGAGACTGAATGAACTCACATCCAATCTTCCCAATGTTGTGCCCTCCTACAGATATGAAACAAAACAAAAACAAAAAATCAGAAGGGGAGAATATGTCAAGACTGATTACTCTATTTCAGCTCCAAACATAAAAATGAAGAAAAAGAAGGAACAGAATTTGTTAGTTGAGTACCTAGAAGACTGACGGTTTCTCTGTCAGTAAAACCTCTGAGTGAGAACAGATGAAGTGTCTGAGTGATATTATCATCAGGTTTTGGAATCTCAGCCGTGGCTTCATCATAGTAGGAGCGGGCACTATCTCTTCTACCAGTGAAAAGTGGATAAAAGGGACCACCAGCCTGTCATTTTAGATAGGACAAACACTCAGGGAACAGGACAGCTAAAAGTGCAGGGAAATACTGAAACAAGCAAACAGATAGTCTGGTGAAGTGCTCTGTAGCTTTTCCACTTAAGTACTGAGGAGGAACTACTAAATGTTGACAAGGTTGAACAACTAATGTGTGATAGTTTTGGTTTCTTACTTCTCTCTTTTAGTTCGGTTTTCTAATGGTAATTAGATGGAAAGCGAAAGAAACTGGAAATTTTTGCCTTAGAGGTTGTTTTAGATACATATATACATTGCCCAGTAACGATCGAACTCTGAAAATCAAAACAGGAAAGAATACGTCAAGACTCGGAGGAGCAGTAAAACATACCAGAACAACGCCATCTCTGGTGGCAAGAGCAAGTATGTCAGCACAAGATACCACCCCAGGGCAAACATTTTCGAGCACCTCCTTGATCTGATCAATTTTATCAAATCCTTTCAAGCTCTTATTTGGCACAGCCTGCTTCTCTATGGAATGGTTTTTATTCCCATTGCTGTCATCCAAGAGGACTGAAGCATCGCAACCCTGATTCAAAAACCCCACAACATTAAGAAAGACGGATGGAATTAGACAGAAATCCAATTAATACATGCTTGATTAAAAAGAAAGAAACCACCTTACAAGAAGAAAGGGAATATTATAGCCCAACTAAGGTTAGAGCCAAAAGACTCGAAGAAACGAAAACCAATTTCAGAAAAAGTCATAAATATCATGTCCAAATCATCGTAAACTAAATGTCCAGCATTAGCTTTAACATTCCCAGATAAGAATTTTCAGATTCTCAAGTGTTAAAAATCATAAAAGAACAACTCGAACCAGAAAGCCAAACTTTAACGTCAGATTGAACAACCCAGTGTTTCAAGACTCATAGGAACCAATAACAACATCAAATTGAGAAACACTCAAAAGAATCATATACCTCACCAACATAAATTGAAAATCACAAAGTTTTAAGATTCGCAGATTCCAATGCCCTGAGCAAGCAAAACCCATTTGAGAGAAACCCACACAGGCGAAGAAAAGGACGACCAAGATTAAACGCAGAAACCCCCGACCTATCCAAACAATACCCATTCATAGATGAAGAAAAGAACCATCAAGACTAGAAGCAGGAAATCAAGAGCAATCAAAACAAAACCCATTTGAGAGAAACCCACACAGATGCCGAAAACTACAATCAAGATTAAAAGCAGAGAACCCAGATTAATCAGAACGAAACCTACTTGATAAAAAGCCCCAAAGATGAATAAAAGAAGAATCTTGGTATACCTGAATGAAGCAATCATGGAAAAAGAGACGAAGAAGCTGAGCAGAGA